AACATTTATAGTAATAATATATACGTGTGTGTGTGTGAGTGTGTGTGAGTGTGTGTGTGTGTGTGCGCGCGCGCGCACGCGCTCGCGCGCAAATATATAGAAAAATAGGGAAGAACACGTTAGGTAAATAATCCGGGCTCTTTAGTATTTTTGTTTTTATTTTTAAAAAACAGTGCTCCATACAAAAGTAGAGCTTTAATTATAATTATTTTTTATTTTTTATAAATAGCGAAGGAATCATATTTTTTAAATTATATATATATATATATATATATATATATATATATATATATGTATAAGTGCGCAGGTATGCATAAAATAGAAAAGAACACGATTAGAGTATGAAGATTGTGTTGTATATCATAAAGAAACAATTTGTACAAAGAATTAAATAGCAATGTTAATGTTATTAATGGCGAAATCACTTTGCTAACAGGACTTAATGAGACATTAACTTACTATCAATTCCTTGAATAGTACGATCCTTGTCAGATGGAAGACACATGCCAAGTACTTTCGACAATTTTAAACTCTCATCTTCACGTCGCAATTTTTCCATACATAGGTAAACGCTAAGACGAAATATGTGTAGACCAAAAGATGCTTCTTTAAATTAGAGAATTTATTGACAGTTGCATATGTTTTGAGAATCAAATTATACTAAGTCTATTTCACTTTAACAAATACATATAACGAGAAATTTTAATTTCCCAGGAAAAAGAAATTAAATTTTAAATTTCCAGAATCTCTCCTTTGTACGCATGTGTAGTCGGACCAACATTACAAATTTAGTCCCGATAATGACGCAACGCGTTACACGAAAACATTTTCCGCTTTGTCATACATTTTTCCCCAATATTGTTCTTAATATATATATAAAGTACATATCGTTATATCATGTACATATAAGTACATACATACATAAATACATACACATATACACACACACACACACACACACACACACACACACACACACACATATATATATATATATATATATATATATATATATATATATATTGTTTTTTACACGTATTGTTTTTTTATTTGTTTTACTCGTGTTGGAGGTTGTTTTTCTTTGGACTCTGAGCTTGGATTCTGGACGATTGTTTTCGTCTCAATTACATGTTCTTAGATCTTTCTTTTTTTTTCCCTTATTTTCCCTTGGGCATTGGTTTGTTCAATTACAAGTCAAAATACATAAGGTTTTTCCCAGACGAGTATAATTACTTATATAAATATTATTATTAATATATTCATATATATCTCTCTCTATGCATATGTGTGTGTGTGTGTTTATTCAGTTGTTGATAATATTAAAATGCTATTTCTTATTTAATGTGTGTGATTTTTTTTTTAATTATAAGAGCTTTAGTAGGTACAGGGCTACGGTTTTGAATTCAGATTAATTGCTCCTAGACCGTTTCCCATAGAAGGCTATAGAACCCATAGTGAGGAGGAGAATTCGGCCGGAATATAAATTCAGCTCTCCTATTCGTCAGTCCGAGCCGCTAGCCATTATACTCCACGGTAACTCCTCTATTAATATTAGTACCGGTAGTAATACTAGTAAAAAAAATCCTATTATTTAATAGTCATGAGAGTAGTAAGTTATTTCATAATTCATTTGAGGAAGCAACTGTAATGATGAATATATCATCCTAACTATCCCTTAAATATATGATAAAAGCCGATGAAAAGTAGGTTGCATACAACAATGTTAAGCGCAAAAATCAATTAACCCCCATTAAAGAAAGGAGGAGTGCGGGGTGGGATCGTCGGGGTATTACTCCTTTAGTGTTGTTAAAACGTAGTGAAAAACACAATGCACATTCAAACGTCCAGCAGTAACAACATGTCCATAAAAAATGTTATCAAAAATCACCCTGCAATCGTCAGTAAGAAAAGTTTGTTCGCGTCCAGGACAAAGTAAGTTTCACCCAGTAGAAATCCGATTGGTGTGTCCGGGCTTCACACGCCAGATTCGCTTGAAATGACACCAAACGATTATTACATTTTTTTTCAAGCGCTGAAAAACACTTTCATGCGGAAAACAACTTTCTCTAGTGAAAAAATTAGCGACGAAATCTTGTCACAATCTTGTCTTTGATCAAAATAGCCAAGAATTAGGAAAGCCGTAGTTAGAGAGAGTATCGAAGGAACAGAAGACTAGGTAGGGGAAAACAAAGAAGAGGTTTATTAAATACTCATATATAGGCGTTCAAAATAGACGAGGATTAGGAAGGCCTTAGTTAAAGAGAGCATCGACAGAACAGAAGACTTCTTAGAGAAAACAAAGAAAAGATTTATTAAATTCTCATACATAGAACAGAAATACTTGAGAAAAACAAATACTACTCAAGTCCTCCTCTAATATGGCTACTTTCCATATTTAACAGTAGAGCAGTTCATTGTCGTAGTAGTAGGGAAGAGCAGCAAGACACATCAAAACCTGTGGAATTCTACTTAAAACGTATGGAAGAGCTGCCTGATATATTGGTAAGAAGTTGTTGCAAATAATGGCGACGTTATACGTAATTGAATAAAATGTAATTCCATTTTGTGTGTTTTATTTAAGAATAAAGCTGGTGAACAAAACCGGAAACTATGAGACAAACTAAGTGATAGTTAAATAGAGAGAAAAAGAGAGGGAATGACTGATAGGTAGATATGAATTGGCTCTGGTCAAGACCCAAAATAAATCAAATAAAATAAAACCATGGTCGCAACACAATGATACTTCCGACATGAAACACACATCTGCTTATCTTCCAATCGACGTCATTAATTACGGTTGCTATGAGCGCGTTGTGTATTTTTACGGAATGTTGAAAATCTCAGTTGCAGTTGTAAAAAGAAATCGCAAGAGACTAACACGTATACAAAAAAAATGAACTATCCGGTGGCAAAAGCTGCTGGTGACGCTAGGGGTGGCAGTACCGCCTTAGCCACCGAAACGGGGTTACTTCCTCTGGTTGGTGGCTGGCGAATGCAGGGTATCTCACGCACTTTATGTAGAAAATTGAACAGACAGATAAACAGATGAAAAAATATGATAGATAGATAGATAGATAGATAGATAGATAGATAGATAGATAGATAGATAGATATTAAGAGACCGGGTTAGATAGATAGATAGATAGATAGATAGATAGATAGATAGATATTAAGAGACCGGGTTAGATAGATAGATAGATAGATAGATAGATAGATAGATAGGGGATATTTGCAAGAATTTAGTTAAAAGAAGTATAAGTCATAAAAGAAGAGTAAATACTAATAAACCAAAACGGAAATTACTTATGACTCAGCCTAATGCACATTGTAGAATCGGCCATGACGTGGTTATTGTGCACCGATCAGGTTTGTTTCTTGTCGAAGGTGTAACTTCCGGTTCCGAACGTCTGTTGTTCCAGTCTTGAGGAAATGTGTTTGAACAATATGACAATATAGTTTTGTGACCTTAGCTTTTTTTTTCCTCAATCTCATTGTCACGAGTAACACAGTAGTGTTGTAGGTTCACCAAATGTACTGCGGCTATGTCAGTGGCGAGTGAGTCGAGGGCAAGGTTATATTTTCCTTTTTTTTTCTGGCTTCGTTATATACGACAGTCAAAATAAAACCGAAACATCTAAATCTAAAAGGAAAGTATTTCATATCTAACGTTTGATCAAATGGTTTGGTTTGGCTTGGTTTATTTTCTTTTACCGAATATCAACACCTCAATGGATTATCTAATGCCAAGATTTTGGACATAGGTTCGTATGAATAAAATATGTATTCTTGGTAAGAAATCAGTTTGTAGATCAGGTTTCATTGGGGTATTTTTGTAATGAGGGTTTGTAGAGAGTCTGGTTTGGTTTATTTTAGTTTACGGCATATCAACCTCAATGGGTTATTTAATGCCGGCAAGATTTTTAGCATAGGTTCGTATGAATAGAATATGTATACTTTGTAAGAAATCCGTTTGTAGGAAAAATAAACCAAATCAAACTCAGTACAAACCCTCTTTACAAAAATACGTCAATGAAACTTGATCTCCTACAATGTATTTATACAATGTGGTTATCACAGATTTTATGAAATCTCAGTAGAGAAAATGCCCATCTCGGCTTGAAATCGGATTCCCCACCCCATACACACACACTGAATGACAAAGCATCAAAATGAGAGCTCTTTTCATTCAACTAAGACTAAATCCACTTATGTCTTATATCACAAATCCCATAACCTATTAGGGTCATAGAAGCACCACATGTACTGCAGCTGTGGTGTGTCTTGGGAAAGATAGCCTGACAGTGCCAAACCCTCTCCAGGGTATTTATTATAGAAGCAGGCTTATTAACACTGTCACTGTTGCATGGTTATATCATCCTTGTCTGGCTGTGCTGGCCCATTTTGGGAAAAAACAGAAAATTGCTATTAACAGGAAAGGTTGCAAGCAAGGAACAACCAGCATGTACCAGCCAATATACACAAGATTGATTGTTCTTTACACTCTTGGATATTTTTCTTAAGCTAGAGTTTGAATATCTAATTTGAATCGCATGGAGGGAAATTTCATTTTGAAGTGGTTGCTTTCCTGTCTAAAGAAATATACAGAAAATAAATCAAATTCAAATTAACTTTAATATTTAACAATAAATTAATCACCCACTTTATATGCATGATTTCATTGTTTACTTAAATATTGATAGACGACCGGATTGTGTTTCAGGACTTATTTGCTTGCTAGAAATGTCTAGAATCTAAATTGTTCAGAAAATGGAGAATCCCTTTCATGATTATAAATTATCCTCTAAATTTATGGTGTCACATATTTGACAGGTTTGTTAAAACTTTCACTGCTAGCATTGTTGCCTGGCTGTGCTGGACTATTTTGGGAAAAACAGGAAAGGTTAGAAGCAAGGATCAAACCAACATGTAACAGACAATATATGCAAGGTTGATTGATTTGTATTTTATGGCTTATCAACCTTTTGTGGATTACTTAAAGCCAAAACCTGGTGTTCCCAAGGAGTCCCCAATTTAAGTCCTGACCAGGCTCAATGTTGCTTAACTTCAGTGATCAAAACAAGAACTGGTGTTTTCAGCATGATTTCACTATAGGCATATCTGCAAGGACAAGGTTGACAATTTATATAGGTGTGTGTGTGTGTGTGTGTGTGTGTGTGTGTGTGTGTGTGTGTGTGAATACAACTGATTCATCAATAGCTGAATAATTGCTAAAAACACCCAGAAAAGTGCCTGATCTTATCCCCAAAATATACTCAGTACTGAAAAAGGCTAATTCTGAATTTCGTTTGAAGGTGTTGGAATTTGTTTATATTAAGTCCTACCAGCCATTTCTCTGTAATTAGCCTGTAAGCGTTATATATTTACATAACTATGTCTAAATTTGCTTAATTGTTATATCATAAATCCTGTAAACTATTAGGATCATAGGGGCACCCCCTCTAGTGCAGCTGTAGAAGCAGTAGTATGTCTTGGGCGAGATAGTCTGACAGAGCCAAACCCTATCCAGGGTATTTATTATGGAAGCAGGCTTGTTAACACTGTCATTGTCACATGGCCCATTTTAGGAAAAACAGAAGATTGTTATTAACAGGAAAGGTTGCAGCTAAGAACAATCAGCATGTACCAGCCAATATACCTCAAGACTGATTGATATATTCATTTTTTCTTTTCAATCAAATATGAGTAAATATACTTATTCATTATATAGGGTGTGGCATTATTTCTGTCTCACTCTGTATCATGATTATAAATCATAAAAATGGTAAACATGGTAGACTCTCCTGTCGTATTCTGTTCTTAGGGACCGACAGCAAGACACCAGCACATATGATTTCCTTATAGTGGTGAAGGCTTTCTGCAGAACCTACTAAACCTTTTTGAAGAGCCGAATACAAAGACCTGATGCACTTTGCAAAAAAGACATTGCAGAAGATTACAAAGTTGAAATGGGAAATTCTTCAGCACCAACCATATTCTTCTGACTTGGCCCCTTCAGATTTTCATGTATTCAAGTCTCTACACAGTAATTTAAATGGCAAAAAATTCACTCTTTCAGTCAGTCGAAAACTACCTCACAAAATTCTTCCAATCAAAAACACAAATTTCTACGAAGATTGTATCAACAAATCTGTCGAACGATGGGAGACAGTTGTTAAAAACCAACGGAGACTATGGACATGACTAAGAAATGTTTTTTTTTTTTTAGTATTTAAAATTTTGTTTTTAATTTTATAAATAGACACGAACTTTTTAATAAAGATGCCATGGCTGATATCGTGGAGAAATTGAGGATAAAAAGTTGTACTTTCGCCATATTATGCTCTATGGATTTCGGAAAAGTGTAAGCAGAAAGCTTAAAGAGTTGAAGTGGTAACCTTCCAGCACCCATCGTATTCACCTTCTCCTACCTCACAAAATTCTTCGAATCAAAAACACAAATTTTCTACAAAGATTGCATCAACAAACTTGTCGAACGATGGGAGACAGTTGGTAAAAACAAACGGAGACTAAGAAATGTTTTTCGTGTATATGTAAAATTTTGTTTAATTTTTTAATCGTGCACGAAATTTTGTACTTTCACCATATTATGCTTCATGGATTACAGAAAGGAGTAAGCGTCGGAACAGCGACAAAAAACATTCAGAATGTTTATTTGGATCATGCTCCAGCTCTTTGGATAGTCAAAAAGGGGTTTTGGCTGATTCTGTCAGGGTGATTTTAACCTAAACAATCAACCAAACCCCAGGCGACATTCCGACATTAATGAATCCGCCCTGCTTGCCATCGTGGAGAAGAAACCTAAGATTCTGACGAAGGAGATTGCTAAGGGTTTGAAAATCGATATCTTTCGCCATTTGAAGAGACTTCAGTTCATGAAAAACGGCCGAGTTTGGCAAATCGAAAAGGTGTCATTTTTCACCACGACAAAGCAAGGCTTCATTTTACAAAAGAGACCTTACAGAAGCTTAGAGTTGAAGTGGGAAACCTTCAAGAACCGATCGTATTCTCCGGTTCCGGTCTCTACAGAACAGTTTAAATGACAAAATCTTGACTCTCTACAGTCAGTCGAAAACTATCTCACAAAATTCTTCTAACCAAAACACGAAGTTTCTATGAAAATGGTATCAACAAACTTGCAGAACGATGGGAGACAGTTGTTCAAAATAAACGGTGACTATGGACTTAACTAACAAATGCTTTTTGTTAGTATTTAAAATGTTGTTTTAAATTATATCATCAAACTTTTAAGAGTAAGCAGAAAGCTTAAAGAGTTGAAATGGGAAACATTCCAGGAACCATCGTATACTCCTGACTTTGTTCCTTTGGATTTTCATTTGTTCCAATCTCTACAGGACAATTTAAATGACAAAATCTTGACTCTCTACAGTCAGTCGAAAACTGTCTCAAAAATTTCTTTCAGCCAAAACACGAAGTTTCTATGAAAATGGTATCAACAAACTTGTAGAACAATGAGAGACAGTTGTTAAAAACAATGGAGGCTATCAAATCACTAAGAAATGCTTTTTGTTAGTATTTAAAATTTTGTTTTTAATTTTATAAATAAACACGAACTTTTGTAATGTAATATATATGCATATGTATGTGTACGTGTGTGTGTGTGTGTGTTTGGTTTGGTTTGGTTTACGAAATATCAGCCTCAATGGGTTATTTAATGCCGACAAGATTTTTATTGCTGGTATTATTTTTATCCAAGAATGTATCACTGGTAATAATTTTTCTTCAAAAATGTATTACTTGTAATAATTTTTTTTACAAAAGTATTACTGGTATAAAAACCTATTTTACACTTTCACAGTGTTTTGACTCCAGTTTAGAGTCTAACTATTTGCCCATAGCTGGGACCCCTAACAGGTGCTACCACCCCGGATCAGGGTGCACCTGGGAACATCAGCTACCAAAGAGGTGTTTCCACGCTCCTCAAAACCTCCTGATCAGAGGTCTTGCTGTCGGCTGTAGTTTATCGTCATGCCCTGGACGCGAATGTAGTTTATCGTCATACCCTGGACATGTGTGTGTAGATAGATAGATAGATAGATAGATAGATAGATAGATAGATAGATAGATAGATGATAAAAAGATTGTGATAGATAGATAGATAGATAGATAGATAGATAGATAGATAGATAGATAGGAAAAGACCGAGATACACACACACACATACACACACTCACGCACACACACACACACATGTATATATATATATATATATATATAAAGAGAGCTATATATTAACTCTCTACTCCGATGACAATGTGTTTCTCTATGGATCTATATCGAGTGCCTCTCGTGTTTGTTGCATTCAATTTCAAACGTTTATCAGATTGCAAACATCGGAAGCAACAATGCATGGTGTCTACCTGTTTCACACCTCCAGGTAATCTAGCTGCAGACCTGTAGATTATTAGTTTAGTAGGTGGAATGATAAATTGATTTTTGGAAATAGATTTACAGCAAAAGTTAGCGTAAATAAATGAATCCATTCTTTTCATTATATCTACCATCCTATCTATATCGATACCTCAATCTGTCGGCGGTTAAGATTCCATGCAATCAAACCATGTATTTAGACATTTTCCAAGGTGAATAATTTTCTGCGTATAATTACCGATCATTTTTACTATCTTTCTTCCACCCGTGACATTTTTTAAAATCCACCATTTCTTAGAATAAATTGTGACCAAGCGATATTAGTAGAACGAGACACGCAGAGAAGGCCACTGCCTGTGTACAACTATTCTAGTGTCAGTTCAATGCATAAGCTCACAGAAAGAACTTAGTGAAATAAGATTGAAGGATTATTTATGGTTGAGTGAGATAAAAACAGGCAAAAAACCAGTGGAATTCGCTGCTACTCCCTGTTCTCAAAGTGAAGATAAAATTGGGTAAATCGATTTTCATTTTCATGGATAAAGAAAGCACTTTTGAAAAAGATGGAGGCGCAGCACTATAACAAAGTGATCGATAAATTTGGCAAAACGAGACGAAAAGATTTATTTTAGAAATAAATCCTTTGAATAGATCATTATTTATTGATTACATCTCTCCCCTTAATAATATTTTTCTTTTTCTCATATTCTTTCACACTCACTAACCCCTTGCGTCTTAGTGGCTTTATTGCTTTGGTTAGCGAGAAACGATTAAAAGTTATAATGCAGTGTTAATCGTTATCTTCTGTCTTCTTAATTCCTCTTCTTTTATTGTTCTCTCTCCTTAATAATATTTTTCTTTTTCTCATATTCTTTCACACTCAGTAACCTATTGCATCTTAGTTGCTTTAGTGCCTTTATTATTCAGTAATCCTCTACCTTGATGGACTCTTGGATATTGTATTGGATGAATATTTAATGAAAAATAATTTCAAGCAAATGCTCTGACTACAGAGCAAACATTTAATATTTTAGCTTTGCATTTGCCCCTAAGAGTTCCGTTTCAGAGAGGAGTTCGTGTGACTCTATTGCCAAGAGGAAAGATTAGCAGATTTTAAATCATAGTGGCGTTCGTTAATATTGGAAAGAAATCAAGAAAAACAACTGACAACATGGCCGATTTTATTGGTTGATTCTCATGTTCCAACCAAGGGCACATATGATGGAGCATTTAGAAGCTGAAGCAATCGATGCATTTGAAAAAGCCATTGAAAGTTGGTTTGATCAAGTAGATCAAAAATAATTTGTTCAATGTTTAATTAATGCTGCAAATGTGAAAAACCATTCTATCGAATGTTAATTAGAAATTCGTTTCTGTTATTCTTGTCTTGGACGCATTAACGGAAAAGCTACCTGTTCAATTGAAGATCTGTAACATAGAAAGTTCTGTTCCAGTTTGAAACCTCCTCCATGTAGGACTTTTAGATGTCTAAGCAAAACAGGAAAGAATGTTTATCAAGACATTTTAATTCAGTGGCATTTGTCTCGGCAACGCCCGAACGTCGTCTCAGACTTGGCTGAAGTCAAAGATGACAGCCAACAATTTGAGTCAGAAAAATGTGTGCTGTTATACGCAAGTGCCAAATGGTTAACTTATGTTGTGATGAAATCACAAAGGAATTGGATGCAAAAACCGAA